TATAATATGGTCATGCAGAATATGTGCTTTATAAATACTAATAAACAGCTAATATGTTAATAATATGAATGCTAATAAGCAACTAGTTAATAGAGAGAATTGGTCCCTATACTAAAGTGTTACCAATCATACAACCCAAACTTTTGAACAGTAGAGTACAGCTTTTCTATTCATAGAAAAAACTCACTGAACATCTTGCAGTCACAGTTGGCTGGTGTTAACAGCACACAAATTGATGAATGGTACTGAAATGAATTCACTTTTACATAACGCTCAATTTCCCGTTGGTGCTTGAGCTCCTGAGCACCCATGGGAAGTGGCGTCTATGTCTAGGCGTGTGTCTGCACCTTCAATCCACCACAACAAGTGCCAACACAACTTCCAGCAAATACGATTTCATACAATCACTAAATTCACGTGCTGCTCATTCTATTATCATCATGTTCCAAACAATTATCTTAATTAACATCTGGCCTGGTTAATGTACAATTTGAAGCAGGCACTTCCCACTATAGAATTACCACCGTTACTTCGCCCTCAACAACAGCACATCTGTCCACTCCAAGGGAGGTGGGTGAAGGACCGGTGCCAGGAGGGCATTATGTTGGCTGAACGCTGGCAGAATGTTGGCTGATTTTGCCAGCTTGCTCACTTCCTCCAATCTGTGTCAGTGTCACATCAAACCCCCCTCGACTGGTTTGTCTGTCCCTCTTGGCGACTGCAGTGGCCGTGCCAGATTCAGTACCCGGGTGTTTGCAAACACGAAGCAAAATAAAGCGCTCTACCCATATTCCGTGTAGTCGGGACAGCTTGCCAAGAACTGGCGCATGTAGTTCACTTGGGAGATGTGAAAAGAAAACATGACAAAATACATATACGGATAGCTTTAGTGTGACTTGTACATACAAATCCTTGGAAAAGAACTGCATGAGGACCAAGATGAGATCAGATCATTTCATCATTCAAACCACTCTGCCTTCATTTGAATCATGTGAACAAATACAACTATATATAAAAAATGTGAAAGATTAGTTCACCTGAAAATAAGAATATTGTCCTTATTTAGAGCTCCTTTATTTCTATCAACCAATTCTGATTTGCTCTGGTGCAGACTGGATCGAGTTATGTGATTATACCTTTTTAAAAGTTTGAGGTCAGTATTATTATTATTTAAAGAAATTAATACTTTTATCCAGCAAGGATGCATTAAATTGCTAGGTAACATTTTATTTTAAGTTGTCTTTGTTACACGTTACATGTACCTACTATTATAATAATTAATTATGCATAATTACATGCGCGTAACCCTAAACCAATCCCTAATCCTAACCCTAACCGCAGAGTAAGTACATTTAGCTAATTAACATTACTCAGTATTTAAATGTATAATTACACTGTAACAAGGAGACCTTAAAATAAAGTGTAACCGACTTTTATAATGTTACAAAACTTCTATTTCAAATGTGCATTCATAAAGAAAATTATTAACAAAAATTCCACAAAAATATCAAGATGCACAACTGTTTTCAACATTGTTCATAATAATATTAAGAAAAACTGTTTCTTGAGCAGCATATAAGCATATTATAATGATTTCTGGAGGGTCATGTGACACTGAAGACTGGAGTAATGATGCTGAAAATTCAGCTTTGATCACAGGAATAAATTACATAAAATTGTGAATCAATACAGGAATGTATAAAGGAGCATTTACATTTATTTTTTGCAATTAAGACTGTGATGTGCATGTACAGTAAATCAGTTCTGAAGTGCTCCTGTACTCAAGGTCATGGGTTTGATTCCCAGGGAATGCATGAACTGATAAAATGTATGCCTACAATGAAACGCAAGTCCTTTTTGTCTGCATAATGCATAAATGTAAATTAAATCATCACTTGGTGCTCAGTTAAGGTTAATGAATACATAATAATTCCTATGTGTGAATCATGGAGAGAGTCATCTTTGCTTTGGAAGAATTACTGTAACTGGGTTCTTGTTTTGTACTGTAGATTCCTTAAAATATTTCTAATATTTCTAATAAAATAATGTCATGTTCATGTGATGACTACTACTACAAAGTTCTGACAACACTAGATAGTGCAGACTGACAGACTCATAGCATCTTGGTTATTAATGTAAACAGTCAGCTTGGTCTTGGAGTGTAAATTCTGCCTTATGCATGATATTTCAAACCCATTTGACTTTCACAAAACAGATGTTTAGCAGAATGTTCACGCTGCTCGTTTTCATCTAATAAAAAGTGAAATATTACCAGAATTTTCATTTGTAGGTGAACTATTCCTTATAAAGTTGAAAGAATAGCTTGGAGCTCCTCACAAAGCCAATTTCAAGATCGTCAATTACTGTAAAATGTGAATTGACATATAATCTCAGATCCAAGGAGAGACCAAATGAAGAGAGAAAAAAACATTTCAAAGCACTGTGCTTTCAAAAATACGACAGCAGTTGTTTTTGCAAGAAAACTAGAGCAAATACCTGCACATATAGAGAGATAATACATTATTTCAAGCCTGCACTCTCCCACACATGAACACACACGCAGTCGTAAATGTCAGTGATGTACTGCTCTCCACTGCAGACTAATGAAGTGACTTATTTTCATCAGACAAACAAAAGCCCTGCCGTTACTAACATCAGATAACAAATGAAATCTACTTTCATCTCCTGGCTATGTTCTGAAAAGATTTCAAGTCAATATGAAATCAAAAATGACCCTCATTTGCATCCTAAATACATGTTAGTAGTCTTATTGTGAATGAATCATCTGCATATGTTATTTCCTAGAAAATTCACGTCTTTGTCAATCAAAACATAACTCGCTCCATCTCAGAAAAGACTTTCATTTTTCTGTTACGCCACCAAGAATTCTTATTTCTCCTCTAAACAGCTATCAGAGAGATTTTTTTTGCCATCCAGTCCATCCAAATAATGCTTTTCCTGTCTAAATAATGTGATTTAAGTTAAGGCGTGAAGAAGACAGAAGCCAGTGACGCAACAATAATTTAGTGTGACCTCAATCAATCAATCAATCAATCAATCAATCAATCAATCAATCAATCAATCAATCAATCAATCAATCAATCAATCAATCAATCAATCAATCAATCAATCAATCAATCAATCAATCAATCAATCAATCAATCAATCAATCAATCAATCAATCAATCAATCAATCAATCAATCAATCAATCAATCAATCAATCAATCAATCAATCAATCAATCAATCAATCAATCAATCAATCAATCAATCAATCA